CTCCTTCTTTCCATCACAGAAGTGAATGTTTTCCTACTCAGCTTAGAGCAGGCAGCCTTGATCACTAACAAAATGCTATTTAAAAAATTAGATATGAAAAGTGCTCTTTATGTGTAATATGAATTGTAATGTATTCTGCGGTCATATATAACAAGTTAAAATAAAAAAAAACAAAACAGCATTAAAAAAAACATACTTCAACATTACCACCATTTCAAGACAAAGGTGTAAGAAGTAATGGGAGAGTACACACCTGTAATTCTGGGGCCTTTGTTTCCCTAAAACTACCCAAATATAAACAGTGAATGTCAGAGCCCTGGGAACTGCTGTTAGAAAAGGGTACTGAAGCTGTGGCACCTATTTTGACTGCTTAGAGGCTTCTATGATCACCAGTGCTGCTGGGATCCTAGGGCTGGGTTTTTATATACGGCAGTTACTACAAGTATAGCAATTTTCAGAAGTACAGGAGTCCCTGGGCAATGCTAACTGCTCTTTCATGTTCTGTCAATCAAAGATGGGGTATAGGTTGTTGCAGAAATCAGGCTGCCCAGTGAATGTTAGAGAAGAACCTGCTAAGAGGGCAACCTCTAGAAAGAAGTCAGATGATGTGATTTGAAAGCAAGTGAACTGGTTAGCCATAAGCTTTACCACCTCTTGAGGGGCTATGGTAGAAGAGCAGGGGTGCAGACAAACTGGATAAATTTGTATTTGATTCTATGTCTTATTAGATTTGGTCTATTCTCAGTTATGCTAAGAAAATACACTGTACATGTTAGCTTTTCACTTCTTTTCCTACAAACATATTTACTGAATCCTTTCTCTATACTAGGTCCCAAAGTGAAGCAAATAGATATGGCCCTTGCCTTCAAAGGACTTACAGTCTAGTGGGGGGAGGAAGACATATACAAATGATTTTGCTACCACATCATTTCAGCTCATTATAACCTGTATTAGTTATAGTTTATAATGATTGCCATGTGAGAATTCGAAATTCCTCCTGAAATTATCAATCATGTGCAGAACTTTGCATATGTCTGGGTCTAGGCATTTTTATGGGCAGAGAGTCTAGAATCATCAGTTTCTCAAAGTAGACTAAGGATATCTTTCTTTTACATACAGTTCACTATGATTCTCCTACAATGTGTCCACTCTGCAATCCATTATCAACTATAGGCAAAACATTAATTGGAAAATTCCAAAAGTAAATAATTCATAAATTTCAAACTGCATGCCATTCTGAGGGTTCTCTGGACACCAACACTATAATACCACTACAATTGATCTGATAACTGAAATAGCTAATAATTGACCAACAGGTGGGATAGGATATACGTGTGGATACGCTGGACAAAGGGATGATTCATGATCTTAGATGGAGCTAGACTGGGAAATTTCATTACAGTACTCAGAACAACATCCTGGGGATTCACAGGGAAAGTCAATAGTAGCCTGTGTCATCACACATTTTTTTAAAAAGAGAAAGGGTGAGTATAGTATAATAAGATATTTTGAGAGGGAGAGCAAGCGAGTGCAACCACATTCACATAACTTTTACAATATGTTTTAATTGCTCTGTTTTATTATTAGTTGCTATTGTTCATCTTTTATTGTGCTTAGTTTATATGCTAAACTTTATCAAAGGTATGCATGTATAAGAAAAAAACAGTACAGATGATCCATGATTTACAATGGAGTTACATTCAGATAAACCCATCGTAATTTCAAAGTATCTTAAGATGAAATGCCTTTAATACACCTAACCCACCAAACATTACAGAAAGCAACACAGCTCAACAAGCATCTTGAGAGACTATCACTAGCATATTGCTAGCCTGAGAAAGGATCAGAATTTAAAGTACAATTTCTACTGAATGCATATAACTCTCAAACCACAGTAAAGTTAAAAAAAATTCCAAGTCAAGCCATCATAATTGGGGGGCATCCGTATACGCAGTTTACCCAGAGCTTTAGGCATCCATTGGCAGTCTTGGAATTTATCTTCCACAGACAAGGGAGATCGACTGTGGTTCATAAACTATGGATTGATAGGTTTCATATTCTGTTAAGGATAAGTAGTTTATTTTCATAGAACCATATGTGAAAAGAACCTCAAAAACTAGCAAGTTCACTCCTCTGTCTGTAAGCCAAAAACCTCAAAAATTATCCAAGTAAGATGAAACCTGAAAGTCGGTTTATTTTTTTTCCCACAGGAAAGCAATTCCAGCACCCCATCCTGTAACCTATTACATTTTTAAACAACCACTGTAAAATTTATCTTTGATCTAGATGTGCTCTAGTTTAGGTCCTCCATGGCCTTATTACTATTTTTCTTTTCTTTATATACAGCTATAAACGTTTGTTAATCTTTCCCACAAAAGATACATGGCAATGTTCTTGTCACAGGCCATTTTTAAGTCTAATGGCTCCAGTGATAAATGTGGATATACACAATACAGCTCACATACATTAGGCAGACGCCTGGCCAATAAACAGGAACCTAAGTATGATCAAGTTACTTGTAACAGAGGCACTGTCCCACAGAGCTGGGAAAAATATCTCAGAGAATGATTTTTATCCTTGGGTAATTACCTACTCTGGATGCCAGGGCTGCATCGCCATGAGACACCTGGGATCTAAGATGAACAGTGTAAGAGGCTGCTCCAGGAGAACTCCAGGGAAAATCAGGAAGACCTATAGCAATTGCTCTTCAAGCAAACCTGACTCCGTACTTTTACATATGTAAATATTCACAGTAAATAATCAGAAGAAAAATTCAAAAAAGAGAGTTGACAAGAGGGACCTTTGGGAAGAATCTGTAAACACCAGTGGGGGGAATCTACAAAAAAAGTTCCAGAATCTGCTGAGTAAAGAGCCTGAGCTGAGCAGAGGGGTCTTGTCTCAGGCCAGCTGAGTGGAGAGAAAGAGGAGGAGGAGTGCTAAATGAAGGAAAGAGTAGCCATCAAAAAAAAAAAAATAGCAAGCAGAGGATTAGGGTAGATTCACATATAGGATAACATGTGATTGAATGAAAATTTTCACAGAAATGACACTCAACTGCCAAAGTGAGAAAAGAAAGCAATTCGATTATGAAATGCAGCCAGGACCCTACTAGGTACCTTCCCATATACCACCTTGTTTAATCTTCCCAGGTGAGAATCAAAGGTGCCTCATCCAAGATCATACAAGCTGGCTGGCAGCACAGTCAGGCACTGAGTTTTTGATTTCTGACTCCAAGTCCAGGGTGCCTCCACTTACCTGGCAACCTCTAGCCTAGAATCACATTCCAATTGAAGTAGTTGGGGGATAAAACTGTATGGAAATGGGCTTCATGAATTTCAGAAACTAGCTGTAGTACAAACCAATAAAAATTATCACATAATCCTAATTGAATCCTGAACCAAATGAAATGCCACTTTTGTAAAGCCCCAATGGCCAGATACTGGCATTTTTATGTAATTCAGTGTATCACAAAGGCATTTAAAAGAAAGAAAAAAGGCGTTAGCCCCGAAGGTAGAACCCAAAGTTGTGCTTCAATCTTACAAAAGGCAGGAAAAGGATGGGGGAAGAATACATAAAGCATGTTAAATATTTAAATGAAAAATCCTAAAATATCAACACAAAAGACCATGTTACCGGTTCTAAGCTGACCTCCTTCCTTTATCACAGGAACTCCTAAAGTCAGCCTTCAGGTAAAACCTTCCGATTTTGAACATGGCAGATGCTTATCACCCTGTTTAACACACCTGTGCTGCCGGCAGACAATCACTTGTCTGCTCAAAGTTCCTGGTTCTCTGCCCTTCAATGACCTCAGAATCGATAGAAAACTCCCCAAGCAGCACCTAGGTCCCTGAAGCATCAAGTCTGCATTGTAAGTTTCAGTCTCTACTCTTAACACTCCAAGAATTTTTCATCATGGCCTGTTCTGGTTGTTAAAATTCAATTACCTGGGATAGACACCTGTTCAACAAACAATTCTGAAAGATGCAAATTCCTCCACAACAGGAGATGGGTCTGCCTACTCCCTTTTGAGATTTAAGTCTAATCACTCAAACTCGGCAATGAGCCATGTAACAGGGAAGTTATTACAAGTATAGGCAGAGTCAAGCTCATCAGCTACTGGGTGAGGCTGTTCCTGCATTTTGAAAGCACATCTTAATCATTTATATTTCCCAATTAACTCTAAGGAATTGGATATGACTACATAAAGTAGAAGTGTAAGATAACTTTTATCTTTCCTAAACAAAAAATGATTTATGAAGTCTACAAGCACTTTTCCTCATTCATGTGTTTCTCATTGTTTTCGGGACAAAACGCAAAAGTAGCCTCATTCAGAATCTCTCCCTAAACTATGCAAATTGCATCTGGAGATGACTCCTAACTAAGGGCATTTTTCAAAACTTAAAAAAAAAATACAGAATGGATTTCTAATCCAGTTGATTATGTTTCAACGAGAGTATTTCCAAGAGTTGTACGAGTTGTCCATAGGACAACTAGAATTGTAGTGGGGAAAGTGTGGGCTTTGAGATCAGACATCTAGCCCTATTATTCTGTATTATATATTCTGTAAGCTTTAGGGTTCTTATTTGTAAGGTGAGGATGGGCTTTTCATCATAAATAAGGAAGGACTAAATGAGACCAAAGGTAAAAAGCACTGAGAGCAGAACCTAGCTCACTGAAGCACAGGATACCATGTGGCAAATATGAAATCACTTTCATAGTACTTACTATGTGTCAGGTACTGTTCACTTAATCGCCATAATATCCTCAATTCCACACTCATTTAAGTATTCTGCCTTACTTAAATATCTATTTAAATAAATGATATGGTTTTAAACCATAAATTTAGTATTTCCAGAGCAAAAAAACCTTTCAAAGTTCTTTTGGTTCTAGTTTTGAAGGGGATTAAAATAGCATAGAAACTCAAAAGTTCATGAAATTCAAATAAAATTACTTCAACCTCAGAAATATTCTGAAAGACACATAAACAGGTGAGCTCTTACCAGTGGAATAAGCAGGCTAATGAGGTCTGTCAGTGGTTTGCAGAGCACTAGCAGGTCTTCGGCAGCCTGAGTGTCCCCTCCTAAACCAGACTTCTGGGCCTAGAAGAGTGGGAAGATAAATAAAAATGGGTCTTGGTGATTAGTCAGCTTAGCTATAGGACACAGATCCACTCAGACCAGCAGAAGTAAGGGTCTGGAGAAGCATTCTGCCTGGGTCCCTGACACAGGACATAGAGGCCCCAGAAGAGAGATAACATGACAAACAATGCACATGCTGCCACTGCCACCAGCTCAGGATTCAGAGGCAGACCAGTGAGCCCACAGATAAAGAAATAACAAGAACTGCTGCTGGAGAAAGGATGGTGACACTCCACATGCTGAAGAGGATAAGCACTTTATCTTTCCTACCTTCCTGAGATGAGGTGCTTTAGCCCCATTTCTTAGGTGAGAAGACTGAAGTTTAGAGAAACTATGTCATTTGTCTAAAGTCCCACAGATAATGAGTGACAAAGCTATTTGATTCCAATTCATGTATACTAATCTTAGTATTTTTATGCACAGTGTGTGTGGGCATGTATGTGTGTGTGTGTGTGTGTATAAATTTTGCTATGTTTTCCTTGCATGCATGCATACACCTGCACAGAGAACACCTTCTAGAATATTTACCTAATATACCATTGAATGAAAAGGCTTCATATACTGATCTACATTTCTTATGACATATAAGCTTAAACTACCTAAGAATAAGAAATGAGTGAATGGTTTTTACTTTAAGTGCAAATCTCCCAGGAGTTTTATAGAACTGTCATATTCCAAAGGACATTTCTATAATAGAGATGAATTGTTTTATATTGAAAAGTAATATTGATATTTATTGTGTTTGCCATAGGATGTATATATTTCATTCATACTTTTTCTCTCTGATTTTACTTTTATTCAGAAAAAAACAAACCAATTTTAGATGACCTTTGCCTGAACTCACGGAGCAGGCTGCCCAGACTTGGATCATTAACCTGGACTCCAAGATCTTTCTCATGAATGCCAAGTTTGCTTCTGCACTTCAGACCTGTGTACAGAATTTCAGATGTCTGCCTTTTTTTTTTTTTTTTTTGGTTCAAAATGACTTGATTTAAAATGAGATACTTATCTTTTAGCAATATACACCTCTCTAGAGCTACGGGGAACAATAGTGATCATTAATTTGGAAGCTTGGAGCTTCCCTCTTACCTACCTCACTATTGGAAAGGCAGAGCTTTCTCCCAGAAAATAAATGTGTTGCACTGTCCTAGAGGCCTGAACCTTCTTGAATCTTGGCGGTTGGTCCTATGCTTTCTTAAGCATTGTCTGACATGGAATATTGGCCTTATCACACAAAACATTTAACATGTCTTCCTTTAAAGTAAATTGATTCCCTCTTGGTAAGGCTGTGTTGCAAATCAGGACCTAGGCAACAGTAAGGGGCATGGTGTCCCTGCTTCCTTTCCAAACCTCATAAATAAGCAGATGGAGCAAAGGAGCAAGCCCACAACGGGGAACTTTTCCACCAGGATGTTTGGTGGAGCTCTGGATCCTCCAAGATCTGCACAGTTGTTTATTACTAGAGCCAAGAAACATCTAGACTCTGCCCAGCAATGGTCATGGGTTCCAGAGAGAAAATGTTGCAGCTTTGTAGCACAGAGAATTGCATGACAGGAATGCATTTAGAAATTCAATTCTCTTCACAAAAGTGTCAGCACACAATGGAATCTCTGTGCAGCAAGGGCTACGTGGAACAGAAAACAAAGGTTCCAACAAACAAATGCAGAGGCCCAGGTTTGCTCTCTTCCCAATACGTCTTCACTTCTCAGAATCATGCTTCCTCTAATGAGCCTTCTGACAACCAGATCTGTGGCCCTTTGGGTGCATCTTGCACAGGGTTCCTGTCTCTACACTGTCAGCCTCTGTGCTCTCCAAACCCCTTTCTAGAACTTACTGTCACTTGTCACTGCTATACAGTAACTTTTCCCATGACTAGCCATCAGATATTCTTGACCTACCTAACTGGTACAGTCCAGGCGAGAGAAGATAGTGGTCTAGGTTAAAGTTTGAGAGGAGTAATTGGATGTTAGATATTTAAGGTAGAATCTATATTATTTGATGACAGATTATATGTGGAATATGAAAAATGAAAATTTTAAGATGCATGCCCAGGTTTTTGTTTGCACAGCAGGGTGAGGGTGGCATGACTTGCTGGCAGGGGAATGGGTTTGGAAGACAAATCCTGAGTTCAGTTATGGACTATGGGATAGGGGGTGGTCACAATAATTAAGGTGCTGTATATATGTATGGATCTCCCTGAGAACTCTGGGTAGAAATAACAAATCTAACAGTCTTAAGATATAAAACCTGGGGATATCAATATTTACTATTAAATGTTTAATATTAAATAGCAATATAATAGGATATAATATGAGATAGAATATAGCCAACTTCTTGGCATAAAAATGTGTGGATTAATACAGTTTTGTGATGTCTACCATTGCTACATGAACCTAGTGCACAGAAGCAAGTGCTCCAAGAGGTCTGCTGATAAACACAAAGGGAGGCCATCTGTACAGAATGAGACAGTTTGCTACCCATGCAGTTGCTGGTAGGTTTAAGCACATGCTACAGCACAAATGTCCATGGTGTGGACCAGATCAGTCCAATTCCACACTCATTGTGCTCCCCAGATGCTCTCATGTGCGTGCTCTTGATGCAGAGATGACCAAGACTCAGTCTTTACTCTCCAGGAATTCACAATTAAATTTAAAAGATAACCAGTTTCCAAACAACTTCACAAAAGACAGTACAAAACTTCTACAATAGAAATAAAAACAAAGTTTGGGTGGCATAATGTGACAAATGACTTCATCATTTGGGTGATGTTGAATAAAGTCTATGTGGAGTATGTAATTTCGGAAGTTGGGGATTTCACGAGGAAAGGCAAGGGAGTAACAAGAATCAGGATCCACTTAGAAGATGGTGATGGGAATGCTTGGTTTGGGTATGGGCAGCATAGAAGCCTGGCAGATGAGACATCATGTGGCTGAACCATACAAGAGCCTGAGTGTCTCCCCAGAGAGTCGTAAATATGTGTCATAGATAATGAGGTGTCACTGAAGTTTTCAAAGGAAAGGATATGATCAGGACCATGGGCTACAGTAGAAAAATTTCACCTGCACTCAACAACTGGGCCAGGACAATTCATGGGGAAGAGCTACAAGGGGAAGACCACTGAAGAATCAAACTGGATAATTCCAAGAGATTCTAAAAATAGAAACTACAGCCTCCCCAATCATAGATAAGCTTTATGTGCATGTGAGACTAAAATGCAGTGACCCTATCTCAGTCTTCTAATGGAGATTCTGACACTTGCCTACACTCACTACAATACACCTGCAAATTATCAACAGTTGAACAGACAACTAAAGAATAATGTAAAAAGCTTTCCTACACCCACTTCAGAAATGACAGAAAAAAACCTAGGAATGGAAAGTTTGGTAACCTGGGTTATATTACTAAATATTTACCTTCCTTAGAAAGGCCATCCCCAGCCTCAAAACTGAGTTTGGCCCCTCTCCCATTAGTCATTCTGCAGCACCCTGTACCTTTCAATTGTTGCATTTTTCTCAATACAATAAAATGAAAATTGGCTTATTATTTGTGTATTGACCATCTTCCTTACTAAACCGTAAGCTCCCTGACAGCTAACACCCTTTTCTTTCTTGACCTCTACTTAAATTATAGGTGCCTAGCCCTATGCTAGGCTCCTAAGTACAAAATAAACCACCAAACATAACTCACAAGCCTGCTAGGAGTTAATCAGCAAATATGAACTAAGGGCCCTCTCATACAGCAGGACACAGAAATGAGGAAGTCATGGTCCACAGTAAGCTTGTTATAGACAAGAAATTGAGTACCTTTCTTCTTGTTGCTGTTTATGATACAGCAACCAATTACTGGCTAACTTCCCGAGCCAAGTATATGTAAGACACTTAATATTTATACATACATACTGAGTTTCACCACAACTCTGCAGAGTAGTTATCATATCTGCTTTACAGATGAGAAAAGCGGTACTCAAACAGGTAAAGTGATTTGTTCAGGCCCACACAGGTGTGCTTGGCCCTTGAATAGAAGATATTCCAGTTTGCAAGGCCCAACACTTCACCACACCAGTGAATCTAAAGCACTTTATTTTCTATCTCTCTATATGTCACACATAACACTCAGAAGGTTAAAATTGGACCAATGCTGAATTTCAGGGAAACTTGGGGGCAGTGATTTTACTCTAGATGGAGAGTCTGACACTTGCCTACACTCACTACTCATGGATCAAACCACTCTCTTCCTTGGAAAAGAAAAGTACTTCATAAATCTAACCACTGTTATAATTTACACACTGCCACTCTTCAATTCTACTTTAAAGAAGTTTCTGTATAAAGTAGATAGAGATTTTGAGTGCAAAAGAATCCCTAGTGTGGAGTATTTTGTAAATGGAAAAGGTGACTGATGGTTTTGCAAAGTACTTACAGCTCCGTGTTTCAGGTGGCTATGCCTTTGATGAGCACTCCATTTCTTTCCCCAACTCTTTCCCCTAACTCAGTCTCAAGGACTCTACCTCTTTCAGACTGATGCCAGGTATCATGGAGATCAAAGCCAGAGGTCGAGGCCAAAGCAATATGTGACAGATATTATAAGGAAGGATTCAGAAAGATGATAGCATTAAAAGACAGTGTTAAAGATTACGAAAAAAATTAAAACCAATGATCTATTGGCACAGTAGCCAACGGGAAAAAAGATAATTAGAAAACATTTGTATTAAGGAGTTTTCTTTTAAATACCCCTAAATATATATATTTATATATTGTGATAAAGGAGAATTTCTATTATCTGGGCTTTTTAACTTCTGATCCTTTTTATTAACCTAAAATTTACAAGACATAGTCTTTTATAGACTGATATCACCAAGGTATTTATCTCTTGAAGAATTCCATAAAACTACCACTGTAGTTTTATATTCTCTGAAGACAGACTCTGTAGAAAAAAGGAAAAGCTAGAAAAAATACAGTAACTCAAGATTCCCAAAGTACTTAAAATGCTTTTCTGTTAATTTAAAATGATTATAGATGAGCAAATAAAAACAACAAGATAATACGAAGGCCATGTTAACTTACTGGCTTTATAATTTGGGTTAAACACTTAGTAACTACCAGATTTGTTCCAAGGATTGTGGAATTATTTATTAAATCATACTCGACAAGCCAAATACTTGACTGGCTTAACAGTGCATAAAAGATACCATATATCATAGTGATAACCCAGGGTCTAGGGATTCATTCTTGGCTCTGCTACTCTGACTCCTGGAAAGGTATCAAAACAGTTCAGTTCAACTTTAGCTCCTGCATATATCTGAGCTAGGATGCTACTATTTGATATACCTCTCTTGTAATTTTACCAGGCTTTTAAACATCACAATGAATTCATATTGGCTATGTGCCTTTCTCTTGATCTAAGAAATCAGCTGAGTCAGTTGGTTAGGAGAGACCATCAAATGAATTAGGCATGTGGAGACATATCACACGAAAGCACTCAATAAAACCACATCTCCTTCTGTCCTTAGGACATGATACTAAGTAAGCACAGGTTAGACTTCAGGCCCAACTGAATTTTTCTATAGCCAATGAATATACCTCTGATCCTTCAAATCACCTCACAATTCCACGTTAACAGTTATAAGGGAAAGCAAATGAGAAAGTTTATATGATATACATACATGTTTACATGTATCTTATTACACCAAATGTGTGTTCGTGCAAAAACTTCCAATCCATTATTTCTAGAAAGCTAACCCCTCTTGCTGATGAAGTCTGGACATGAAAGTCTGCACCTTACTTGGCCTGCCCTAGGACGCACCTCAGGGAAGTGCTTTCCTTAGACAGAAGTAATTTCCCAACTAATGCTAAGTCTTTGCTTACTATGCCTCTCTTGTCTTCCCTTAGGATTTTGTGATCAAATCCTCTCTTGACATTGGTCATCCCAAGTTGGCTTTTGGTAGTCTTGAATAAAATGTTATTTTTAAAAAGATAATACTCATCAGAAACAACAAAGAGGAAAGTGTGACTTGGAGTAGGATTGTTCAAGATGTAAGAAAAGTGATTCTCTACCTGCAAAGCCAGGCGTACAACGCTGGATGTATACGTCAGTATGCCATGCAAAATATCAAGCAGGGAAAATAGCAGTGTGGCTGCCATCTCATTGTTGTTTTTATTGTCCGCATCCAAGCACAGTGTGGCAGTTTCAGTGAATAGATTACAGACGTGACTGACAAGTCCTGAGGATAAAAAAAGGAAAAAACACTCATCATAAAACAACGTGTCACATGAACCAGACAGAGAGGCATTCTTACTCTATGTTGCATAAACTTCCAATCCTAAGCAGTACACTTAACCATATTCACTGGGCAAGCTATTTAAGATGCAAGTGATTCTGATGCAAGGGTTCCCAAAACACACTTAGAGAATAATCAGAGGATTCTGACACTGAAGGAAAAAGTGTTATTCACAAACATGCTGTCCCCAGATTCCCCATTGGAGGTCAGCATTCTTCAATTAAAAAATTAGGGACCATGATGGGACCCATCATCTCATGAGGTCTATAAGTAGTAAGTGGGTTATGTCCAGAAGATAATGCAAAAAAGCAATTTTTTTCTCATGAATTTCAACAATGTAAGATTAATAATGATTTTAAGAAATTTAAAATTTAGAAATTGCCATGTCCTATCATTTCGACTCTGTAAACCTATTAAAAGTACAGCTGGTTCTCATCAACTTTTAGTTTTATGTTATCTGCCATAACAAATACATTTTCACATTTTGGTAACATTATTATTTACATTTAACTTGGCATTTTTATTGTTATTATTATTTAGCATTAGCCTTTGAATTTATAAAAATGAATGAGATATAAATGTGATTAAAATAAAATGATGTAAACCTAAATAATGAATAAGACCTTGGGCACCAGTGAAACATCAAAATGTTCTTTAAATTTTTTTTTTCCAAAGACAATGTCTTACACAAGCAGATTATGGGAGAGAATGGTAAAGAAATACAACATGTATTGAAAGCTGGATGGCATTCGATCCACAATCCATTTGCCCCCAGCCCCCAGGTCAAATGAATGGAAACCCTGCCAGCCACAGCCATTCAAGCTTTGGCATCTCTTCCAGACAGCACATATTGTTGCTTCCAGCAAACCAATCTAGTTTTCTTGTCAACTATAAAAGCAACTAGTTGTCATTAAAGGCAAAGACACACCAAAATTACAAAGTCATCAAAACTGTACTCCTTGTGGCAAAAACAGGTATAAGACACAATTAACAAGGTGCTTTAAAAAAAATTGAGCCCTAAGGTTGAAGATAAATACACTTGAAGAGAAAGTAGAATGAATTATTGTCAAAGTCTCTTTATTAAATGACAAAGTCTTATAGCACATATCACCAATGACAAAGTGCAGAGAAACCAGGCATGACCAGGCATTTTCCATACAGCTATTATGCATCACTTCTGTGCATGCTATGAAATAGTACTTGTCATCCCTGAGATGCAGATGGGGTAGAAAGACTTTAAAATGAAGTATTTGGTAAGCATGTACTGCAAGAGAAGGTGTATCCCTTCTGGGGTTCCTGAGGAATTTATAGCATATCATACAGAAAAACTGGTGGTGTCCAGCTTGGAGCAGCAGAGAAGGAAGTGGCTCTTCAGAAAGCAGAGGTGACCTATGAGCAGCCATCTACATACAGCTTGAATCAGAGTAAACCACTGGCAGGCCACAATGTTCTCTCCATGTTCATTCAGTTTTATATCAGAACATCCTTCCTTAAAAGGATGAATGCAATCAAATCCCTTCTGGGAAGGGAAGACTTTCCAGCCTGCTACAGGAACAAAATAAGGCAAGAAGTGCCCAGCTCTGATTTTGCACACTGAAGTCACCAGCTCCCCCGGGGAAGGTGTTCAAATGAGATTAGAAGTATGAGGCAAAAATCTTTTTCACTATAGTGATAATGCCAGAAAGAACCACCAATATGATTTTAGGTGACCAATCTCAGTCACATTTTCAGTTTTCTTCAGAGCCAGAACTCTCACTTAGGGTCAATATCTATGTTTTTCATGTCTCAACTATTTATTACAAAAACAAAGAAAGTCAGAGACAGTTCAGTAAAATGAACCCTTTTTTCAACAATTATCAACATTTTGTCAATCTTGTTTTATCTACTTGTTATTAAAACTATTTTAAAGCAAATCAGATACCTTATTTCTTCTGTAAATACTTTAGTATAGCTCAACAGATAAAACTGTTTGACCTGTACTGTCATTACCACCTAATAAAATTATTTCTTAATATACAAAATACAGTATGTTCAAAACATTTATCATAGTATAAAATGATTCTTTTATACAATGGAATACTCTAAAAAGGAATGAACTGCTGATTCCTACAACAATAATGGACAAATCTCTGAAACAATGCTGAGACACAGACCCTAGAAACAAAGAAAAAGTCTACAAATTGAGTGATATAAACATATTTGTTTAAAATTTCAAAGAAAACCTGTCTTTGTTGATTTATATCAGAACAGCACTTGCTTCTGGGAGAGGCGCAGAATAGGATTTTCTATGGTGACAGGAATGTTCTATATTTGATGGGATGCTGGTTACAAGCATGTATGCTTTTTTTAAATTAAATGAATTTTATATGTAAGATTAGCATATTTCACTGCATATAAATTATACTTATTACATATTATTTTTAAATGCAGAGATATATTAGAGAAATGTTTGAGAAGATAAATGAAGAGGTGTGTGTGGTTTTCCCTGGGATAATAAGAACATTAACTGAGCCCTTGCTGTGTCTGGTAGTACATATGCTTATTGGAAGAAATGGAGAAGTAAATTTTTTAGGAACTCTAAGTTAGCTTTTAAAATATGCTGAGTTTGAGATAACAGAAGGGCATCCAAAGTGTTGATTTGCAAAGGCAGTTGGAAAGTAAGCCCTAAAGTCTAAGTAGCAGTTCAGACTGGGAAAGGGGAGGTGGGAGATGACTGGAGAGAACAAAAAAGTTCAGAAGAGACGGGCAAGATTGAGAGGCAAAGACTGAGGACTGAGTAAATCCCAGAAATGGTCAGGGAAACAGGAAATGGAGGCACAGGTGATAGAGCAGGAATCAGGATTATGTAAGGCCATGAATATCAAGGAATGATTAGAATTAAAAAAAGAAAAGGGGATGTCAAGAATGTCTAACTGAAGATCAGTAAGATAGAAGAATAGAAGGCCCAAGTTCACTACCCCATAGAAAGGCCAAACAGCAACTATCCCAAGAGAACACCTTAGTGGAAAAAAAATAAAAACAGACAGTCTGCCTGAGACACCTTATGGTCCACAGAACTGAATAAAAACTGCATGAAACGGGTAAGAGAAATGGTCTCACTGTGCATCACCCTTCTCCCTCTCCAAGTGGACACAGAGTCCAACAAAGAAGTTTACCCCAGGGACAACAATTTACTATAAAGAGGGAAAAGAGAACCAGAGGTGAAATCCAGCTCCTCTACCTCTTTGAGATGCTTCTCAGGAAGCCCCCACCTATCCCACCTAATGGGGAACACAGGGATCAATGTCATGGTAGACCACCAGGAGTAGAGTGGAAACAAAGAAGGGAGACAGACTTCACAGTAGTCAGCATGCAGATCTTGGTGGTAGTTCTATGTACCTGCCAGCATACTGCCCAGTCAGAAGTATATGCTGACAGTCAAGCCCATCTGAAAAGCTCCACTGGTCAGTACTAGAAGTGGTGATTTCTACCTGGCTTGAATCCTTGAATATCAAGCCTGCAGGACCATCACCGAACCTTAACCTAGGGCTCCACATAAGGAAGGAGAAAAACTATAGCAGCAATTTTTTGCAAAGAGCAGGGGTTAGATTTGCCATATCAAAAAGTTTAAAAGTGTTCAACCCAAAGTCCACCTTCAAGCCCTGCCTAGGCAGGAAGGCAAACCTCAAATATGCATATCCACTGAAGACAGCAATTGGCCCCATCCATCCCAATCAGTGAGTCCACCCAACCTCAGGGCACCTCCTGCACCTTGTCCAACTGATGAACTCAAACAGTGGTACCATCTAGCTAGAGAATATGCTTTGAGGTCAAGTTCAATCAGAGGCAGCTGTAGCCTGACTAAAGAGCTCAGTCAGATAGCAGAGACCAGCCACCTGAACCATTCAAACTCAGAGCAAAGGCAGTGGGCCACACACTAGAGAAACTGGAAGCATACAATGCCTGCCTAGAGTCATTATCATTTAGTCCATCCAGAGTCACAGCTAAACTAAATAGTGAAGATCCTTGCCAAAGAATACCTGTAAAAGAAGAGGTAGCTATCTCCTCCAATGTGTGGACACCAATGCAAGAAACAGGATTACAAAGAATCAGGAAACCATGATGCCTCCAAAATAAACCAACAGAACTCAAACAATAGACCCTAAAGGAGATAAATAAAACAACACAAATGACTTAGAATGATTCTCTAATATTCAATGAGCAACAAGAATACAGTCATTGGCTGGGGTAGAGTGCTTGCCTAGCACTGCATATAAAAAAACTAAAACAAGGGTATTGTGTTCATCTCCAACTATAAATATTTTTTAAAAAGAATACAGTAATATACCACATAATATGTTCATTAATGATACACTATAAATATGACAGTGATTCCATAAGATTAAAATGAAATTTAAAAAATTCTGTTGCTTAGTGATATAACAGCCATAGTAATATCTCAGCACAATGCATAACTCATGGATTTTTGGTGACACTGATTTAAACAAACCTAAAGCACTAATGGGAGTACAAAAGTATAGCCACTCACAATTATGTGAAGTACATAATCGTTGATAAGGAAAATAAATGTCTATGTTACTGATTTATATATTTGCTATAGTATGCTCTTTATTATTATTTTAATGGGCTCCTTTTATTTATAGAAAAAAGTTAACTGTAAAACAGCCTCAGGCATGTTCTTCACTAGGAATCCCAGAAGGCATTGGTACCTTAGGAGATTACAGCTCCTTTTGTGTTGGTGCCCCTGGAGACCTTCAGTGGGAAAAGATATGGAGGTGGGGGACAATGATTCTGAAGATCCTGGTCCTATGTAAGCCTAGTCGAATGTGTTTGTGTCTTAGTTTTTAACTAGAAAATACTATATAATAAGTATATAAAAACATTTTTTGTTTAACTGTTCATGTGCATTTTAAGCTAAATGTTAATGTAAGAGCCATAAAATT